CCCCAAAACCCCAAAACCCCAAAACCCCTTAGATTTCGTTCAGAACAGAAATTAATTATAAAATTAACCACTATGAGGACCCTACTCTACCTAATTTCAGCCCTCTTAGTTTTTTCCCAGTGCATCAGGTTCAAAAATGGGCAACAAAGTTTGAAATATTATGAGAGTGTAGAAGGGATTAGGGATGAGACAGAACAAGACTTGGATTCAGGAGAGATTGTAAGGAATAGTGTTCCAGCAATGAGAGCAGATGTGCTTTATGCGCCGATTGTCTTGAATGTTGATGATGAAGAGTCCTCTGTAGGGAATAGAGAAAATACTGGGACTCTTGAACTGAAGAGCATTATTGAGAATAGTGTTGAAATTGATGAGTTAGAAGGTAGGTCAGAAGAGGAAATTTCAGCTATGTCTGATATTAACAATTCTGTAACTTCTCTTCGCAACAAGTCATCTGCACTCACAGTCTCTATTGACTCTCTCACCCAGGCTTCTTCAGAGGCGGCTGCCTCTGAAGAAGCCTGGGTGGCTGAGTCAGTACAGGACTTAGAGAGTGTTCAGGAAGAGATTGATCAGTTGCAGGAAGAGATTAGTGGGATTGGTAAGAAGGCTTTTGGGTATGATGAGTATGTTGTGGTGGTGCAGGAAGGAGAGGAAGAGGTTGGAGAGGAGTTTGTGTAGAGGGTGTTGGGAGAGTGAGGGGGTTTAGGGGGTGGATGGGATTTTAAATATGCTTTTGAAGGGATTACAAATAGGAGAAGTTTTTATATATACTTGTCTTAGTAACGAATTATTTGGACTATTTCTCCTTTGTTAATTTATATTTCCGGAACAAAATTCATGAGTAAAATGTACTTTCTAGGCTCGATGACATTATTATATTATCCAGATGCAAATGAAGATTATTGTGAAAAACATATAAACTGAGGAGTTTGAATTTCTTCTTCGGCTTGTATTTGGTGTCCTAGTAAAGAAACTTGTGTTCAAGGTGATGCGAATGGGCCTCTTATTGAAAGCTGTGACAGCTGGCTAGTTAATACTTGAGATTTAGCTCAGATTAGTGCAGGCTTTCAACAAAAAAATCAAAAAATTCCAAACAATCTTGTTCTTAATTTAGATTATTCAGCAACTGATTCAAACTCACAGCTCATAAACTTTGAAGAGCAGAAAATTTATGAAGAGAGATATGGAATAAATGATTCAACATTAGCAAGAGATGCAATTAATAAACTTGCTGAAGACACTCAAGATAGTTTAAATAGCTTAAAATCTCAGGAAAACAACACTGTTGCAAATATCCAAAGTATTGAGCAAGCCTTATATAATCTTAGTGCTCAGATCAATAGTCTGGAACTGAGCATCTCAGAAGATTTAGAAAGAAGTACTTCTACAGCAGAATCATTAGATTCAATCAGTTCACAACTTACTCAAACACAGCAACAATATGATAATGAATACGACATATCAGATGAAGAAATGGTTCCTTCTTCTGGAAATCCTTTAACCAATGAAACTAGGAATGTGATAACTGGAGGTGGAATAAGAGAATATAGCACAAATTCCACTCTCACTTTTGGTGAATCTAGTCAAAAACAAACCCAAATCGAGGGAAACTCTACACAAAGTCAAGATAAAGAAACTACAACACAGCATCAAATTGGATCAACTCCTGGAGATAATGAAACGAAGGAGGCTACTTTGAATGAGACAGAACATCGGTCTATTAATACACCACAAAACAGTCAAGAGACTGGAAGTATTCCTGTAGAAACAGATCAAGCTTTGACTTCACAAGAGGCTCAGTCAGAGATGCATCAAAACTCTACTGTCTCAAATGTCTCCTTAAACTCTGCCACTGTAGAAGCACCTCCTGCAGCTTCTGCTGCAGGAGCTAGTGCTCCAGTTGTAGGATCTAAGATTTCTACTGAAGAAGTAAGTACTGACAACAGTCTTTGATAGAGGGAAGCCACAAGTATAAAATTGGTTTGCTTATTGATGAGGTTGGGGCACTGAGAATTACTTAGAGTAGGGAAAGATAGATGCTGTTTTCATAGTTTTTCGAATCTTGAGTTTTTGATTTTTTGTAATTCATTTAGGCATCTGAAGAGAAATTAACTGATGAACAAAGTGGTCCTAGCGACGAGGACGATATAAATAGTTCTGTGAATGAAAAAGAATCTCAAGGAGAGGGAGAAGTTGATAAGAATAATTCTGATGGGAAGACTTCAGACGAAATTGCTTCTTCAGATACTTCCTCCTCAGGAGAAAATACTCAAAGCCAGGAGAAACTAACTGAACAAAACTCTGAGGAAACATCAGAAGAACACGAACTAAATACAACAAATTCCAAAAATACCCTATCTAACAATACCACCCACCCCCAAAATAACACCCAAATCCCCTCCAAAGACCCATTAAAACCTAGCGAAATTCTCCTCGAAGAGACATCCTAACCCCTCTAAAACCCCTATATCTCCCACTAAATCCTTTCAATTTTCCTCTTCCCCAAAGGGGTTTTGGGGTTTTGGGGTTTTGGGG